TTTCATTGTGTCATCAAAAGACTTCACATCATATATGTAAACATTTGTGTTTCATTTTCATAGTAATCTAATTTGATACATCTGCTATGTGCTAAGAGATCACTGCTGACAAGACTGAAACGTGACCTGATGTTTCTTGCAGAGCACATGAAGATTCTGTAGTCTTTGTCTTAGTTTGAAGACGCAGATACAGATGTAGAATCTTTCCCTGTTAGGGCAACTTTGCCTTCAAAGGCCTTCCCAGGACAACTGTGTTAAATTTCTTTAGAGTATTGGTCATTTTATCCAACACTTTACTGCTGGATATCCTTTCAAAATTTGTTCTCAATGCCCTGTGTATGACAAGCTTGCCACACAATAGCTACTTAGATATGCCAACCTATGTTCTTTTCTATAACCCAGAGGTAGTGTTTAGCAAGTATCATCTTGCCTAAGTACTATGAACTTAATGAATACTGTTGTTGGAGATCCAGTCTTGCCAACATCAAATATTTCTCAAAGATGATTGGTTAAACCGTGTGTGTGTGTGTGTGTGTGTGTGTGTGTGTAAAATAGATAAAAACAAGTTAGAGGTGACATCTGTGGGGCCTCCTTAATTCTCAAAGGATTATATGTTGAATACATTGGTATTACTTTGAAGTTCATTGGTTAGCCCTGGGGCTTGGCGTGGTACTCTCTTAAAGAATATAGTAATTTTGGATTTATGGCAACAAGGTGTTGGAATAGGAAGCTCTTCATCCTCTCTCCTCTGACATACATACATATTTCTCAACAATTCATGGACATATTTACTTTGGAAGCCATCTGGAAACTAATTGAAAGACTCCTGCACTGTTGATGACTGTAAAGCCAGATTCATCAAAATCAAAAGGGTGATTCAGGATATAATTCATCAGAATCTCTACCCAGGGAATAGCATCATATGATCAGGAAGAAACCCCATAGGTCCCAGCTTCTTCGTTGGTTCATGGTTCATGAATCTTATACCCCAACTTTTCCCAGGGCTCTCCCCAAAAGACTGGTTTCTATCTTGCCTCTCATGTAGTTCTAAAGGTCTGGCACAGTTTACCCATCTGAGGAAGAAGGAAGATGACAGCTTGAACTCTTGTCACCATCGATTTTCCCCTTGCTCCCCAAAGTGAGCAGATGAAAAGAAAGTCCCCATTCTCGGTTACCTCCTAGGAAGGTAAAGATTTCATACATGCATCTAATTCCCTGACTTCTCCAAGGCTTCCAAAAGAACTAGAATCTGCTTTACCAGCCTTGGAACTCTTAACTTCTCTGACACAGTCAAGCCACCTGAGGAAGGACAGACAGCAATTTGGATTAGAAGATGCCATAGATCTTCCCTATTTCTCAGCACAGAGCAGGTGTGTATGGAGGGGTGAGGGGGATTTCATCTCTTGGCTTCTTCCTGGGGAGTGAAAGAGTTGACCTGTACAATTAGTTCCCCAATTTGTCTGAGGCTGTTCAATGGACTAACAACTATTTACTAGTGCAGGAGTTCTGATAGATCTGATGCCACCTAGGGGACGATAAAGACAGTGGGTTGGACTGTAGGTGCCTCAGTTCCTGCTCCAGCTCAGCCAGAGTAAGAGCTCAAAAACTTTATGCTTCGTTCTGGGAAGGAAAGGGGCTAGTAAATGTCCCCAGAATCTCTGGCCAGGTTGATAGGTGGTCTTTTCCTATATGAAACTAGCCTGTGAACTGGGAGCAGGGCCTAATGTTCAGATATCAACACAAAGAGTCAAGGAAAAATGAGGAATCAGGCAAAGTTGTTCCCCAAACAGGAATAAGGTAAATGTCCAGAAACTGAAGATTTAGATATGACTAATAATATTTAAATTAATAAGAAGTAATACTAAGACTTATATGATTTACCTGGTAGAGAATTCAAAGTAACTATCATAAAGAAACTTACTAAAGTTAAGAGAAAAATGCAAGAAACAAAGTTAAAATTTCAACAAAGAAATAAAATACATTTTTTTTAGTTCCACATAGACATCTTTTTTTTTTTTAGTGTAAGCATTCATGTGTATAGGGTAATAATCTCCATCTTATTTCACCTTACTTCTCATCCCTACACCCCCTTGCCTCCCCTCACTCCCCTCTGCACAATCCAAAATTCCTTCATCCTCCTCCTCCACTATGGATTAGCATCTGCTTCTCAGAGAAAACATTCAGCCTTTGTTTTTTTTGTTTTAAATGGACGACACAGATCATAGAACTGTAAAACACAAGAATCTAACTAAAAGATTCACTAGAGGTGTTCAATAAGAGAACATATCACGCAGAAGGATTATCAAACTCAATTCATTGGAAATAATTCCATCAGAGGAGAAAAAATACTTTTTAAACGTGAAGAAGTGAAAGAAGCTTAAGAAATGTATAGCATACCATCAAGCAGACCAATATGCACATTATGAAAGTCCAAGAAGCAGAAGATAGAAAGAACTAGAAATCTCAAGATAGAACAGCTGAAAACTTCTTATGACTGTGGAAGGAAATGGACCTCCAGATCTAAGAAAACCAAGGATATTGAATAAGTTGATTACAAAGGAATCCACACCAAGATATATTTATAATTATTGTCATTAGTCATCTTTATGCTGGAAATGATAGAAAAAACATTCATGTACTGAGCATTCTTACTTGTTGTATCATTTTTATATACAAAATATTCTCTCTCAAAACAGCCCCTTCTATTGCAAAGAGAAGTTGATAACAGATGTTATACAGATATATAAAAATAATAATAATTCAGATATAGAATAAAATAAGACATGTGACCTAGAACACAGTATTGCCTAAAAATGTTATTTTCTACTTCTGTAGCTGCTTTAGTCAGTTTTCAGGACTTTGGACAGAGTGAACCACTTACATATTTGTGTATGTGTCTTATAACAGCTCAGTATCAGCCAGTAACAGCTACTGGATAATGAGTGTTTGGACCTTTGCTAATTACTATATTATGTGTGTAGCACTTAAGAGCTTTCTGAGGAACATAGTTTTTGTTTTTATCTCCTCCTCCTCCTCAATTTCTTCTTCTTCCTTTTCTTTCTACTCTTCCTTTTTCTCTTCTTTTCCTTCTCCTCCTCCCTTCTCTTCCTCTCTCTTTTTCTCTCCCTCCTCCCCTTCCTCTTCCTCTTCTCCCTCCTCCTCCTCCTTCCAATGTTTTTGCATGCCTTTTTACTTAAAACATGGCTAACTAGTTCTATGGGTGACCACAAAACTAACTCTAGAATTCAATTCCTATTCTCTCAAGCACACTAATAGCTTAATAAAGTTCTCTTCAAAGGTAAACTGTTATTAGCATTCCCAGAACAAAGAAAATATTCACTGGCTGATGATTTTGTGATTTCAGTGCATATTTTATTATTTTTTATACAAGTATATATGTGAATATCTTGGCCAAAGTCATGCAGTAACGCAATCCTGTGTTCTGTGCCTTATACTATTTGATGGATAGTCATGAATTTAGAAAACGATTGGGTCTCTTAACTTCCTTCTTGAAGTTTTGAAGACAGAGGTATCTCTGTGATCTTAAAATGCATCTACTAGGAATGAGTACTTTCTTCACAATTTTGCGACAAACTTTTCTTAGTGAATTCAGGCATGCTCTGTGGCAACCTGTCCATAAACAGAGGGAAGAATAACTTGTCATCAGCCATTGGAAAGTCTTTTGTCGGTACTTTCTACAGGGGGTCCAAGCAGAGATGAAAGCCAAGAGAAATACGTGAAGTTCTTTGATGGTTTATATATTTCTGTTTTCCTTTTGTTTCTTTAGAAAAACAAATTACATGAATCAACAAAATGCTTGCCCTCTAATACCACAAAGAAGGGTTTCAGTTAGCAAACTTTTCTCTAAATACTTTAATTATTTATGAGAAAAGACAGATAGTATAGGTATAGCCTTCTCTAGGAAGCATGCATTTTATATGATACTTTTTACAACTCTATAGGTCTCCAGGATATCCTAATTGCAGCCCTACTTAGCTGCTAACAATGAGATGAGTTCATCTCACTGGTAGCCCTTCAGTCTCCTCCTGTTTTCTAAGTACTGCTATACTCGAGCAGTGTTTGAACTATCAATGTGCCTTTATGGTATCCAGAGAAGACAGTATAATTATTGGCCATATTTAAATTACAAATGAGAAATATTAATAATTAATTAATGAATATTGAGAAAAGCAGAATTACATTTTTAAACTTTTAAGCATCAGAGTATTCCTTCAGAGAAATATTTTTAAAAGTCAGTACTCGTGGGGCATATTACAGACACAGGAATAATACTTAATAAAAAGAATCGTAGTGTCAAAAATTGACATGATAATTTAAGATTTATGAATAGCCAAGCTTAATTATATCCACTGTTTCACATTCTCATATTTCATTTTGAATTAAGGTCAAGATGTAATATATTTTTAATAGTCATTTTTCTGAACTCTGAGAAAAATTACTTTTTGCTTTCTCATAACTTGCTACTTATGTTTTATTATGTTTATCATCTATATTTACAGTTTTCTAGGTTACAAAATCTGTGGAATTGTTTGGAAAAATTACTTGTAAAGAAAGTATCTAAAAAATTAAAGGGAAGTAGTTTTGTTTCATTCAAATTAACTAGTCTTCAATGAGCGCTATTTTGTCCTTCTTGGATCTATCAATTATGAGAGCAAAGAGTTTACTAATGTTATTGAAAATATAATGCAACTGTTTTTTATTCTTTTTTCAAGGCTTTGTTATTATTTTTGTTTAAATATATAATTTTAAGAGTGTTAACAAAAATTATACTCAAAGCTTCCTTTGAATAAAAGCCATTATTTTATTCATCAATATATTCATACTAATATATTTGAATATTATTACCATAATACTATTCTCTTCAAGATAAAATCTAACTAAAAAATAATCTCTTTAAAAACTATGGCAAAGCATTTTCTGTATTTTCAATGCTACAAAGCTTTGAATTAACAGAAAACCACCATGGGTTGCTTCTTTAGAATACCATTAAATGTTAGAGACATCGTCTACTGTACAGGAGTGTCACTACTGGATGAAGATGTTTGGGAATTCATATGGATGAAATTCCACTCCACTACAGCAGTTTCTGAAAAGAAGATATTGTTGGAGGCCTTAACTTGTAGTGATGACAGGAATTTATTAAACAGGTGGGTCAATTGATTTTCTAACTATTTTTATAATGAGAGCATTCTCTGTTAATCAGGCTCCCCTGAAGTTGTTTTATGTCCTTGAATAGCTGTTACTCTAAAATTTATCTTCCTAAAGATCAGAAAAAAAATATCTTGTTAACCTTATTGAAGTTATATGTTAACCTTATTGAAGTTACTGGCTTAAGAAATATCTTGGTTAATGATTAATTATGTCATTATAATTTATAAATGTGTGTAAGAAAATATTTCATTATCAAAGGAAATATTTACTGAAATAATTTTAAAAGGGAGTTCTGTGTCATCAAATCAGAATTGTGATTTCCCTATCCAATGTATATTTTTAGAGTTTAATTAATGTAATAAAACACTTTGAATTTGGCCTTCCTCCTTATATAAACTGAAATTTGTTCCATTATTAAATTCATATGAAAAAAGTTTGCACTGGACTATTCTTTTGAAGAATATGACAAACTAGACTTTAGTTCAATTTAACTTTAGTACAATTATAAAAATGTAAAATTTATTGAACTAAAACTTTCTCTATAATTCTATCATTATAGGCTTCTAAATCTGTCTCTGAATTCTGAGGTGGTGCTGGATCAAGATGCAATTGATGTCATAATCCATGTAGCTCGAAATCCCCATGGCCGAGACCTTGCTTGGAAGTTTTTTAGAGATAAATGGAAGATATTAAATACCAGGTAGAAAGAATAATTTGATCATTCATACCTGAAAGTGTAAATTAAAGCTGACATATGAGAAATAAAAGCCCAAGTTTTGTGATAGAGTTTAGATCCAAATAATAGGATTACATTTTAACATAGTCAACCAAGATGGATATTGTCACTTCTGTAGAACTCATTCTGTTTAAACAATTCTCTAACCTTATTAATTTGTTAAAGGTTAATAGCCTTAATTAATGATATGTGGACACGTGGAGAGTGTAAAATGTTTAGCAGAGCACTTTCCTGGAATATCCATCAAACTGTCCAAAATTGAAGAAATCATAAAATTCCTATATCCTGAATGTATTATAGGAAAATGATTTATAAATAAGATATAAGTGGTATTATAACAAGAAACTCAAATTGTTTTGTAGAATTGTTTTAAATTTCTTTTAAATAAAATATTATCAAGCACCTAAATAAAACCATGAAGTAGAGAAGAAACATTAATCATTTCAATCATCATGTGGTCCCACTTGCAGTAGAATTCATTCCCAGGATATCTTGTTTCATGGTGAGAGTTTTTCATCCTCAATATTAGAAAAGTTTTCATTATGTATTTAAATCTATTATAATCTATGCTAATTTATTACTCTGGTAATCTCTATGGTATCTTAAAATTAAATTTATTATAGAGGATGTAAATGCTGCATGTTCTTCTAAAACATAACTCTTTCCAGGTAGTAAGCAGACTTACTGTTCTCTCAGAAACTCATATAAAAACTATTTAAGCACACCTTTATCAGCTGTCCTGTTATAATGAGTTAAATTTGAATGGGTATGTCATATTAAAGCACATTTCTCTCTACAGATATATCATTGAGAGAAAGCATTGATATTCCTATATGGCACATTGACTTTTTCTATATGTTCAGTTCAGAACTTTGAATGATTAGAATATTAGATTATGTTTTGTTGTCACGCATATAATAGAGTGTATAGTCATCCAGCTAAGGTAAAATTAATATATATACAACAGTTCCTATCCAAGAATGCCCATGATACAGAGAGTATCTGATTTTATAGTTCAGAGTCAGTGGAATGCACCTGTCTATGATATCTATCCAAAAGGTAAAATTATTGAGGTTTGAAGTTTGAGTGTTTACAAATACAGTAGTACTTTTCATGGCAAATAGGAGTGGCTTTATCTACTCCTACTCCTCTGTTGGTCCTTGAATGTTGGAGTTTGTGGGGGTCCTGACCAATATATTCTTCACCTTCTACAAATTCTTCCTGATTTAAGTTGTCATACATTCTCACTATCACTCCCAAATCTTCATCTTATATGTACTCTAGATATTTCCATATGATAGACAATCTCTCCTCAAGATCACTACTGGGGTATGTCTGCAAAAACTAATGCCATCATTTTCCCTTGGTCTTCCTTTTCTCATTAAACCTTATAGCCAATCAGCAATTGCTGAAGCCACATATCTGGAAGTCTATATAGGCTTCCCCCTTTTCCTATCCATATTTATCAATTAGGTTTTAGGTTTTATAAATTTCAGAATTTCTAAATATTTCTTCCTTTGCTTTCCTGCTACCATTTCCCTAATGCAGTTTCTTCTTTACTACGGTACTCTTAAAATAGCCTCTTTATTCCTCTCTAATTATATTCACCAATACACACACACATACACACACACACACACACACACGCCTCTTCCCTTTGTCACAAGAATCTTTCTGAAAAGCAAGTGTGATATTTCCCTAATGTAAAACTTTCCATGGTTCTGTGCCAGACTTACAATCTAAGCTCCTTGATATGTCTTCTGTGTACCTCCTGGCCTCTTGTTCTTCCATTCCCAGCCTCACAGTTCATACCCTCTTAATACCAAATTGCTTGTTGTCTGCACACACCATGTCATCTCACACCTCCTGCTTTTGTTACTGTTGGTTCACTAAAATTACTTTCTCAAAATTGCACCATTCTCAGTCTAGATGCATCATCTGCCAGAAGCTCACAGATCCCACAGCTAAAGAGATCTTCTCTGAACACTATGTATAATAATATCAACTCTATATTTAGTTATATTAAGAGGAAATTATCTGTTTACATGTCTAACTCTTCAACTAGATGGTAAAATACCTTTGAGGTTTTGTGATCATGCTTTATTCACCTACATGTGAATGTATAATTGACATTCCCTTAGGAAAAAAAAATTACTTTTGTTCCTGGAATAATCTACTTCTGTAACCACAGATTTATTACTAGTGGTCACTCATGTTGTTTGAATGATTATTTGTTTGCTTTTGCTTAGCTAACTTTTTTTCCATGGAGGAATTCAGTGTTAGAATTATAATATGTCATGGTTTCTTCCAGGTCAGCCCCTCATTTTATAGATGAGAAAAAGTAAATTCCACAGAAACTAAATTACTTAAGGTCCCATAGGCTAGGGCAACATTAGAAAACCTCATGTGATGACATCTAGACATTTGCTTCCAATTGTCCAGAGTTTTCTTTGTAGTATACTTATCTTGTTTCTACGAACATGATTACCTGTGTTAGGTATCATCAGCATAGTAAAGACAAGTCAGTAAAATTAGAACTCCTTCTCTTCACTGGCACAAAATGTTCATTGACTCAGGTCAAAAGTTAAATAATTGTGTTTGTGACACAAGAATTATGCAATCCAAATGAACAACTAGATATTTTATTTTAATATCCTCATGAAAATAATGCTAATATTTTGGGAACATTTTTGAGAAATATGACTCCATTTTTAAGAACTCAGTAGGATAATACCAATTTCTTTTATGAATAATTAAACCCAAATATCTGTGTGACATACTGATTATGACTAGTTGGCCCTGCAGTCTTCCTTCCTTTGGTGGCATGCTTTTCTCTTACAGTGACCTAAGTTGCTTTAGAGTCAAAAAGTTCTAAAATTTCTGCTCAATCCTTGGCTTGGAAATATAACAGTATTTCCTAAATCCAATTTTAGAGGACTCACATTTTTAAAATTTGCTTCAACTTACATTTCTCCAAAACACTGTGAGCCAAATCAGATGGGATCAGATAGTATCCCATAGCCATAGCTCTTTTCATCTATCTTGCCCCCTAAAGAAATTATCTTGAATGCTCCAAGATCTAGCAATCTCTGACAACCCTAGTCAAATAGACTGGAACCCTTGAGAATATATTTATAGTAGTATTTCTTAAATTACTACCTATATTAACATTAAGACTTTTTTCTTTTATCTTTTGAGGTATGGAGAAGCATTATTTATGAATTCCAAACTTATCAGTGGAGTTACAGAATTTCTTAATACTGAAGGTGAACTCAAAGAGGTAAATATTTTAAAATGAGTTCTAATTTTTTGTTTTATAAGCATAAAATTGCACATTTACTTCAATCATTTATTTCTGTCAGATTCACACCCATTCCTTTTACACACACACACACACACACACACACACACACACACTTGTTAAAGACTTCTCTATTTACAAAGGTATTTCTAATATATTAAGCATTGAATGCCTGCAAAATGTTTTTGAATGTAATAATTTCTAAATTTGGGTCCCAAAATCTACTCCAGAAGTCTTTGATCCAATCAGCCACTCTTCAGAAGATTCTGTGAACCCAAGTAACCTACAAAACCATCATACCAATGACTTAGTACTTGTATTAAGGACAAAGGTTGGTGTTAAGGTGTAGAACATGAGTCTCACAGCTTTGTGGTCAGCCCTATGCAGACAACAGATAACTGGACATGATAGTAATGTTTTATTCTGTCCAGGCTGTTATACAGAATGATTTCATGTGTATGGAAAGTCGTGTATCTGGCAATATATATTGCAATTAATAATTTGTTTCAAATTTCTGCTTGGCACAATGACAAATGAATTTTATTAATGAAAATAAGCTTGACTTTTTATGGACTAGGGTTCATCTAACATTTCCATTTTCCTCTCACTTATTTCTCCAAAAATATAAACTAGGTATCCTCCTCCCTTCTTAATTCACATACCAACAGAAAGAGAGATGAAATGGGGAGGGTTAAGCAGGTAGAAGAAAGGGACAAAACATAGGTTCTTTTGATTTATTATAATGATATGAGCTTCAAACTCTCTTTTCCTCTGCTGTCCACTTTTATAAAATGTAGCTGATAATTGTCATTGAGGATCATGGTTTCCTCAGTTTCCACTGACAGAATGCTCGATGCTATTACCCAAAGCTAATCCCATCAAGCAGCATTCTCCTGGGTGCGTCAATCCTGGCACCAACCTTAATATCTTCTAATATTGCCCAATTTCCTGAGATCATACCCCATGAGCTAACTTAGATTCTATCACACCAGGAGTAGGCTAAGCCAAGGCTTGGGTTGTAATGATTTGAAATTCCGCCTTTATCCCTGCTATGTGTGTTCCCAACCCTAAAGGATTTAGCTTTGAAATCCCAGAACATTTTTCCACTATTTTTTTAAATAAAAGATTCTAAATGGAAAGGCTTTTTTCCAATCCATAGGAAACAGAAAGAACAATTAAATTAATGATGGCTTTCAGTTTTCTCTGTATTTAAATGAAGTACTTTTAATGTCATGATTTTATATTCAATAGTCTGGGGATGAAAGACATTTACTCACAATCTGCTCAGCCATTCAAGTGAACACAGAAGTGAAATCTCTCTCCCTACTCCTCCCCTCTTGGCCCCTCCTTGCTCCTTTCCCTCTCTACTGTTCTGTCTTCTCCTCTTCTATCCCCTTTCCTCCCACCTGTCTCCTGTATCTCCTCCCTTGTTCTTTCTTCTCCCTTTTCTCTTATTCTCTTTCATATTTTTCTTGATTTGCTCATTCTCAGGCCATGAAAAATAATGTCTTTTAGATGAACATTTAATTATTTTATCACATGTTGACCATTTTGTTTTATATATTATATATTTAATTTTTATGCTTTTTTAAATTGCCACTTCAGATGTTCCAAGGTGCCCCTATCATGAGAGGTTAAAAAATGAAATTAAATTGTGGCTTTTATTCCATTATTTTATTCCATCTACAAAGGAGCTAATTTCACAATGCAGGCTCACAGTGGAATGAGGGATGAATCTCTTCATCGCAGTCTTACTTGCTCTGACTTTTTAGTTTTACCTTTTCTTCCAGAGGCTTTTACATGCTTTCATACTTTTAACTGTTTGTGCAGGAATGAGGCACATATTTTCAGGTGGGGTGGGGGATTCAATTTGTACTGATGACAGTCCTTCTTCCTTAAATTAGAAAGGGCTAAGTAACATTCACTCAAAATATCCCATAACCTTTGAGCCTCATAAACAGAAAACCCAAGTGCTCCCTTGGGGTACAGCATTTCCAAGGATTCATAGATCAAAGGGGAATCTGCACATTTATGAATTCTGAAAACTCTTTTGATATTTTAATGATCCTCATCAGCTTTAGGGGAATTTTGTAAGAAATTTCTATTGTCCAAAACTGCATTCTAGTACCTGAAACTGAAGTTTCCCTTTAATTACATGGATCTAGTAGTTTGAACTATATTTCTTCTTGAGGCAGTCCATCATTCACTTAATTTTAAGTTAATGGAAGTATAACATCATGGAACCTTAGAGGATCCTGTCATTTTTCCATACTGATGTCCAAAAAGTAACACTGTCTGCACCTGTCAATATAGTACTCTTTAAGAGGAACATAGATCTTGTGCATCCCAGATATCACATCTACACATGGAATATTGAAGACATATGCCTCATACTAGGACAATGGCTAATACTATTTGTTTATGTAGTTACTAATAGTATGTTGTATAATTTACTCTAAAGATAATTTACTTTATAATGTTGGGGTCTGGAATATCCTGACATAAGAGATATTTTAATGCTAAAATATTTTAATAGATAAATAAATATGAAGTTAAATCACAAAATCTAAAACAAATAAAATGTCTTTTTTTTTTTTTTTTGGTACTGAGGCTTGAACTCAGGGGGCGTTCAACCACTGAGCCACACCTCTAGCCCTATTTTGTATTTTATTTAGAGACAGGGTCCCACTGAGTTACTTAGTGCCTTGCTGTTACTGAGGCTAGCTTTGAACTCATGATGCTTCTGCTTCACTCTCCTGAGCCTCTGGAATAACAGGCATGTGTCATCCAGCCAAACTAAAATAAAATGTCTTGTTTGTTGCTTTATGGAAATATACCTGATGAGTATAAACCATAAATATGTAAATACAAATATATTATTGTGTTAATTAGCTAAAGATTCAAATTATGATTCAAGAATTCCTTTAGACTTCCCTTTCTCTCTCTCTCTCTACGTGTGTGTGTGTGTGTGTGTGTGTGTGTATCTGTGTGTCTGTGGCAATGCCTGGAGTATTAGAGATACTTAATAAATTCCAATTCCTTTCTTCTTTCTTTTACCTTAATATATATAAATGTGGTCAAGTATCAGATCAGTTTTTAGGATAGCACCGGTAAGTACTTGTTAAACATTGGATATTTTACATGTTTGTTATAAAAGTACAATTATTTTGAAGTCCTGTCAAGGCTATAGCTGAGATACAATTATTCTTTGCTGGTATTGCCAGATGTAAGGTTTTGTGGAAAAACAGACTTTGAGAGAACGCATCAGTATCATGTAATCAAAGTAACAATGTCTTAACAGACTAAGCTCTACATGAACTAAATTCTAAATTATTTTAGAAAGGTACAATTAGTTGCATGTTAAATAACCCCACCCCATCTTCCCTGTCCCTGAGTCTATCTTGATGGACCATGTCTCCTTGCCACCACTTGCTCCCTGTGGGCCGCCATGTGATCCCACGTCAATTCCAGCACATAACATTTCTGTGTTGCAAGTTGATTTTTCACATTTGTCTATGAACATTGCAACTGTTAGTTGGTTGCTTACAGTTTCTAAAGATGTATCTAACATAAGGAAGAACTTGAAGAATCTTGAAGAACAATTCAGAGTATGTGGACTCTCAAAATAAATCTCCTATCAATAAAAATTATGGGAAAAGCACTTAAAAATTCTAACCTAAATGATTAAATTCTCTAGCTGAATGAGACCATATTTCTTCTTTATTCTTTCTAAATCTAGTTACTCGGATGATTGGAATGTCATTTATCATCCAGTTTGTATAGCACCATTACTTTTTTCTACCTTCCAATAACTTTGGCAATCCCTTGACATTGGAGATAGTGTCAAGCCCTATACTGCTTATTTGTAGAAGATGAAGAATAATTTTCACACACAAAGTGTGAACTTTAATCCTTGTATTCAGTTCATAAGGCTCTTTTATACATTGAATGGTCCTTTTAATTAGAACTAGTCTTTGTCACAATTTCATCAACCTATTTTGAAAGAAAAATTAAGTATTTCCATTTTAATATTTATTGATGACATAGAAGCTGAATTGGAGTCTTATTGTTATCAATGTCCACTCTTTCTTTTTTCTTTTCTTTTTCATTCCTTAATCAATTATATCATACCTAATTGATCCAGCCCATTATATTTTTCATTACTAAACTTATTCCACTATATCAAATAAATACCAATCTTTAAATAAGTTTTGTAAAAGAGATTTTATTCAAGAGGCAGCCAAGTGCAAGGAGATGAGAGAGACCAGCTCTCAAATATGCCTCTCTTACAGGGGTATTTATGGCATGAAGAAACATGGTGATTTAAGGTGTGGGGACCAGTGATCAGAGGGGATATAATCAGTGATCTATGCAGGCATAGTCACTCTTCATAAATCTTCAAAGGATGCATGAAGAAAATTATGGCATTAGCATGATCTGAGAGTGGAGTTTTTGGTTGTCTGACATCAGAAGGTCACCTATTGGACACCTGCTTAGGCCTAAGAGAAGAGTTGGTGGTTTTAACAAAAGTAGCCTTCAAGTCCCTGCAAAGTAACCTCAGCTACCATTGTCATCATGGCCCACAGTGTTATCTACAGGAGAGTTGGAGGGAGACTAACAATATGTGGCTCAGTTGCATGACCTCCAAAATGAGGGATGTTAAGTTAACTAAAAGTTAACTAAAAGTAAGTTAAACTAGAGGCAATTAAAGCTAGAGGGCTTGTCAGGATTTCCCTTGGTTTCAATTGTGGCACTTTTGTTTCAAAGGGATTCTTGTTCAAATATGCTGCATATGAGTTCATTTTAAGACATGCATCCTTATCATTTTAAATTTCTGTTTCCAGCTAAAGAACTTCATGAAGAGCTATGATGGGGTAGCTGCTGCCTCTTTCTCACGTGCTGTGGAAACCGTTGAAGCCAATGTGCGCTGGAAAATGCTTTATCAAGATGAGCTCTTCCAATGGCTGGGGAAAGCTCTGAGGCACTAATATGTGTCTCTTATAAAAAAAAAATAAAGACTGAGATTTTTGGAAGAGGACCTGTTTTATGTGGAATGAGGAAAACATGCTGTGTAAAAAAAAAAAAAATAGCCAGATTTTCAGTGTTAACGTGTGGGAGGATTTTTTTTTTTTTTTACTCTTTAGTTTGGGGGATTAATTTTTGTTTCATTCATTCACTTTTGTTTCTTTATTGGGTGTTCTTTAGAGAAACTCTTGCAAGTGAAATTTGCCATGGTTGCTTCAGCTGTACATTCCTTGCTGTACAGGACCAAATATGATAGTGGTGCATGTTGATGTTGCAGTCAGTTTGGAAAAAAAAAATCATATTCAGAATATTCTGTGCATGGATGTATGGTCCTGCCTGTGTTCCAGCATGCTTATTTAAAATGTCCAATGTTGTATGTGAATATATGTTCCATCCAGGATGGGCATTATGCAAAAGCACAAAGATTATCTATGACAATCAGTGTTGCAATGAAAGAAAAACTAAAAAGGGTAGTTAGATTCTTAGTGTTAGACAATGGGAGAGATAAAATAACCCTTTAAGTGAACAGTGTCATTTATTTCAGCACTTGGATTGTCTGGCAATGATTACTGTGTTACTAACTCACTTTCTTTGAGTTAAAGCTCTGTACACATTTAAAAAGGCATATAGATAGTGTATACATATGTATATGTACATAGGGAAGCCCCGTATGTATATAGTATGTTGTACACTGCACACGTGCAAAGAATCTCTTAAATCTAAGAAAATTTATCTCTTTTTATAAATGTGTAGATGTTTGGAAAAGGGTTAAAGGAATTTATCTCAACATTATCCTTCCTATTTCCTAACTAAATTTCTCAACTTATTTTTCATTTACTTTCTGAAGTATGGTTTACTCTACTACATGAAGATGAAGCCTAACAAAATTTATTGTGTAAACCATTCTTCTAAGTCTCCTAAATCAGTAGCAGCCATGCATATAGATTGTGTCATCATTGGTCAGATGTTCTATTCAGTATAATAATTGTGTAAACTTAGTACTGCCAATACTGAGAAAGTGTTTATTTTCCATCTTGTTTGTCCATCTCATGTTGGAGAGTTAAAATTGCTCTCTGTGTGTTGGTCTTTATGTCTGTGTTGCTCCAATCCTCCATTAAGCAACCATACCTCAATAGGTCTATTAGCATTTAATGACCTTTTATGCCACTTGTGCCATCCCTTGAGATAAGAAGTTTCTTTTCATGTGTTAATGTACAAAGTCTTTCCTTTAGTATTGACAACTCTATTCTACCTGGGAATTTTGAATAGCCATTGGCTTTGTATTACATAACAAAATATTTTTAAATGATATTTTCACCCAGTAGGCCAACTCTTTAAACATTACTTAGATGCTTCAGAATTAACATATTTTAAATTTACCATTATTAAATACCAATACAACTACTATACTTAAGCCAAATTTTTGTGGACCACTTCCTATTTTCCTGAGGTGTTCCATTCCTCCAAACCTTGCAAATCATTGAAACATGTGTTCTGAAATTAAGTCACTGAATACTGAAAAGACCCTTAGACGTATATGAGACTGGAGCCATAGAATTATTTTAAGTTTATAGAAAAGAAGAGCAATTTCATAACCCATAGAATAAGTACCACCTAAAATTGAATTTTACTATTTAAGCATTTGCTACTTTACTCATACCTAAAATGTTCAGTATTTTGTTCAATTGAAGCACATGAATTTTAAATATTCTGTGTAGTCTTAATAAAACATGATAATGCTTCGTATAAAATCTAAAAGTTATACCACCCATCAGAAGCAATGGAATCCAATTACTACATGTCAAATTTACAAATTCCTTAAGGGGAAAGTTCTAAAACATGATAATACCATCACATTGCTGTGTAGGTCCCAGATATTCATGTAATAGAGATGATAAAAATTAGAGGTGGATATTCTTGTTTTGTGTCATGAATTACTGAAAATTCCTAGTAGCTGTGGCATTGTGTGTATGTGTGTGTGTGTGTGTGTGTGTCTGTGTCTGTGTGAGTGAAATCACCATTTTCAAATTTGAGTTAGAAAGGCTTTTACAGTTCTTTTTCCTCCCCACTGTTAATAATCATAATCCTCTTTCAGTATTTTAGTGGCCTTGAACAACTGGTTTAGCTACAATATCAAATCCCAAGTGTATAACTATGTGCAATGTTAATACCTCATATAATAATTGTTCAACAGTATAGTGGTACCAATGGCACTGAGATGGCATTTTTGTTCTACATATTTTTCAGTAATTTAACCTTTCCAATGTTGAAATTATATCAGGCTTTAACGTTTTTTAGTTGTTTTAATAAGTAATATTTTCAAAATAATAAAATAACCAATGATATCTCTTGGAATATTCTGTAAGATGTAGTTATAAAATTATATTTTCTACTTAGAGTTTTATCTGTTCTCTCTTCTTTGTCTGCTTTACAAATCAAAAAGATGAATGAAACCACACACTGTTGAAAGTGTTCAGCATCTAGTGTTAAAAATTTACTGTGCCAATATATGTACAAGAAGAAAACTTGTTTTCCATTAGAAAAGACCAAATTACTTACCATACCATGTTGGGTATTAGTTGTTTCCAGGTGACATGTAAATAAACCGGTTTCCCAATTTTTACACATTTTTTTCCTTAAAAATTTCCTATAATCTTTGAAGTTTTTAATATATATAATCTCAACCTTTAAGGCTATATCTATGATGCTTCTGTTCTTAAATTTCCATAGCATGTATTTTAGCTGGGCCTTAAACTCACCTTGGTTTATAGTATTTCCTGGATAATTGTATCATAGAACTCAGATTTTTTGTGTTAATAAAATTTACAAACATTATAACTACTATTTTAGAAAGTTATAAGCTTATGCCATGAACTTATAAAATGCTTTTCATTTTCAAGAACTTTCACACATGCTGTTTTATTTGACTCCTCCAAAAACACAAAGCATTTTTAGTTCTATATGCTAAAATGAAACTGAGTCTCATGGTAGCAACATGAGCTATTTAAAATTGCAGTTATTTTGGGAACAGATATAATAACCTAAGACTCTTAATATAGCTTTTCTACAATTAAACTAAAAATAGATGTTTAAAATTCCTCTATTGATTGCACTAATTGGAGATTTTGCAAATACTAGAATAGCCTTAAAATACAAAATTAAATATAACTGCAATAATTACCTTATTTCTTAAAGTCTCTGATTCTAATTTTCATGTTTTCAAATAACTGAATGATGGTGTTTTTCTGTATTTATCTTGGTCAGTTTAAGTAGTTGGGATGAAAAAATTAGTTTATAGTTATATTTTCCTCTTTATGTCTTTTGCTGAACATTGCCTAATCTTAAAATACTGATAATTGGCTTTACTTACAAAATAATCTTATCTGACAGTAGTAATAGGTGGTCCGAATGCAGATAAAATACTATCTATTTAAATCATTGAAAATAACATACAGTAAAATATTTATAAATCTATGCAGACTAAACTGTGAGTAAATGATTTTTGTGAAACTATCCCACTGTATTAGATGCATACAAGAGATTTCTAAAAAAGTTTATGATAATATATTTAATGAAAATATGCTAGCAATTAAATTTATAAGAAATTCTTTTCTAAGAGATTGCAGAACCTGAAATAATTTGCTTATTCTTTTGAGTGCTCCCATGAAGTAACCTTATATCCCTATTCAAGAAGTAGCAAAGGCACATATAATGAGAAATTAATATTTCCAAACCTGTTTTGAGTGGTCATAGCTGAATTATCATTTGACACTGCTGGTTATGTGTTCATAGAATTCAATTTAATTAAAGAAATATTTATTGAGAATCTTTATTGCACTAGGATTTTAGTGAGGGAAAGGAAGACAGGGATTAATATGCATAAAGAAATTCACATCACAATAAATGCGAAATGTCTAAAGAAATAACAAATGAGTCAGAAGAAGGGCAATGTGGAAAATAAATACATGATGCAGAATAGGAGGTAAATTATTTTTAGGTGGAGATAATATGCAGTTATTTTGTTCACTACTCAAAACTTCAGTACAATTTTTATTGTTTGATTTCACAACATTTATGTTTTATGGAAATATGTAGCACTTTGAAATTATAATAAAATCATATAGCTTAAGCTGTAATATTGGGATAGACTTTATCCTTGGAAAAAGCTGTTTAAGAAGATTACCAACATGGGTAACTTGCAGTGAAAATTGTTTAATCTACTTATGAAAAAATAGTTTAAGTTTTCTAAAATAATTTTAGAATATTATTTGTACATTTTCAATGTGTAATTTTAAGGCAATCATATATAACATAAATAGATTTATCAATATTTAAAGGCAATCAGTTATTCCTTCAAATTAGTGTGTGTGGACTTGAATGCAAAAATATTCTGATAAATTATTCTGGAATTTCAGTTTTAATTATATTATCCTTTAGTTTAATTGGTTTGAGTCAGGAAGGTTTTAAAAAATTTTTGCTTAATGTGGTTTAAAAATCATGAAAAGTTGTAACAAAAATATACTCTATTTTTATGAAATTTTATTTCAAAATTTACAGAAAGAAAGTTTTAAAACTGTCAAATATGTTTTTAAAACAGTTATTGAAAATATAGGTTTGATGTTAAATATATTGCATATGTATTGTTTTAGTCAGCTTTTTCAGCGCTGTGACTAAAGGACCTGACCAGAACAACTGTAAAGGAGGAAAGGTTTATTTCACGGTTTCATAGGTCTCATGGTTTCAGAGGTCTCAATCCATAGATAGCAGGTTCCATTCCTCCTGAGTTCAAGGAGAGGCAGAACATCATGGTGAGAGAGTATGGTGGAGGGAAGCACCTCATATGATTTTCAGGAAACAGAGAGATCTCCACTTGCCAGATATAAATATATACCCCATAACCACACCCCAAATGACCCACCTCCATAACCATGCCCCAAATGACCAATTCCTCCAGCCATATACCACCTGCCTTCAGTTATCACTCAATTAATCCCATCAGGTTATTAATTCACTGATTGGTTAACCCAATCATTTCTCTGAACCTTCTTGCATTGTCTCACACGTGAACTTCTGGGGGACACCACATCCAAACTATAACACATCAAATTGTGCATTTTATTTTTAGATAAATTTTCACAAACCAGTAGATAGCATGATTTTATCCAGATTTTAGAAACTGCACTTTAGTGTCTTTAAATTTGAACATTTAGTACTATAAGGATAATAAAATTCAAAGATTTTTACCTTTGGACATTTCTAGTTAATGTACTCATGCACTAAGAAAAAAATCAAAAAAGTGACTGAACCATTGTTTTTTTCCTGAATTAAACCTTTTGTACTATAGTTATGATATTGGAAACGTGGGAACATTTGAGTGTCCACTAAACTCCAGGCACTTTATCAATATTTTTTCATTTACTAATCTTGTGAAATGTTGTTGGTTCTAATTATCAGTGAGTAGAGAGGCTAAAACCCAGTAGTTTACACAACTAAATGGTAGTCTTAATTGGACTCCAGAACTGCAAACACAAATCTTCTATGGCTCAAATTGGTGATAAATCTGCTTGCAGCATGCGTGGAAACATGATTATCTATACAGATTCTACGGGAGATGTGGATGGACACTTAGCTCAATTTCTCATTGTTATTGGCTCATTACAAAGAAGTGTTAATTAGTACATTCTGGTTTGTTATTCCTTTCTTAGCATGGTTACTTCATACATTCTATAAAACCGTTTTCATCAAAACTTTCTCAGGACTGGGGTTGTGGCTCAGTGGTAGAGCACTTGCCTAGCATGTGTGAGACACTGGGTTTGATTCTCAGCACCCTATATAAATAAATCAATAAAATAAAAGTTCATTGACATCTAAAAATATTTTCTTTTTTTTTTTTTTTTTTTTTTTTTTAA